ACCGTCCCTCGCGTCCACTCCACATGGCCTTCCTGGTAGTCATGTACTAACACCTTCTGTCCAAGCGTGAAAGATCGCTTCTTTGCTCCATGCCGCCGGTTTAACTCCTGTTCCATACTGCGGTTTATTTCACAAACAGAGGACTCCGAGCCCGGTCGGATGGCGTCGAAAGTCATGCGGAGCTTCCGGTTCATCATAGCCTGTGCTGGAGACACTCCGTCTGGCGCTTGTGCATTCGGTGTTGATCGGTAGAGGAAAAGGAACCGGTCAATCACTTCCTCTATACGTCCCTTGCCTTTTGATTTGTAGAGAGCTCGCTTGAATGTATCGACAAACCTTTCTGCCTGGCCATTCGACTGTGGGTGAAACGGCGGCAAGCGAAAGTGCTGGACGGCGCATGGCTTGCAAAACTCCTTAAACGTTGCTGAAGTAAATTGTGAGCCATTGTCGGTGACAATTGTCCCAGGACAGCCGAATCTGCTAAAGGTTTGGTGCAGTTTCGATATGGTGGCATTGGTGGTTGTGTTCTCCATAAGAAATACTTCAGGCCACTTGCTGTATGAATCGACTATAATGAGGAAACTTCGGCCGTTGATCGATCCCGCAAAGTCGACATGGATGCGGCACCATGGCTTAGTAACTATTGGCCATGAAAGAGTTCTGCTTTTTGTGGCGCTTTCAAGTCATTGGCACACTTTTGGCAGCGTTTGGCTATTTCTTCTAGCTGTTTGTCCATGAAAGGCCAATATACATAACTGCGGGCAAGCGCCTTCATCCGGTTGATTCCAGGATGCCCGGCGTGGAACTGCCGAATAAGACGCTCCTGTAGTGCCGTGGGGATGATCACTCTTTCCGAAAATAGTATGCAGTCGTTTACGATAGAGAGCGAGTGTTTCCTCTGAAAGTACTGGTGCAACTCGGTAGATGGACATGAACGTGGCCAACTTGTTTTGTGGGACTGTGTAACCTTCTTGAGTATTGGGTCCCGAAGCGTTCCGGTTCGCACAGCTTCTGCGGTAACATGTAGACCGTGCAATGCCTCAGTTACCAGAAAATTGACGTCATGTTCAATCTCGACCGAGGCAATGATTGTGTCCTCATGTTCTTGCTGGCGGGCATCAATTAGGCGTGACAGTGCATCCGCTTGGCCTATGGAAACTGTCGACTGGTATTGAATCTCGAAATTATACCCCATTAAGCTAAGAGCCCAACGTTTTAGCCGGTTGGCTGTGTAGGCCGGAATGCCCTTTTTTGAACCAAAGATAGCCAGCAAGGGCTTGTGATCTGTCAGAAGCTTAAAGCGGCGGCCGTATAGCATTTTGTGGAATTTCTTGACTGCGTACACTATGGCCAATGCTTCTTTCTCAATCTGGTTGTAATTCTTCTCGGCCTTCGTAAGTGTTCTGGCGGCATGGGCCATTGCCTTCTGAGACCCATCGGCGTAGGTGTGTGTTATTACTGCACCAATCTCATGGCTTGATGCACCTGTGGCCAAGACAATCTCTTTGGAGGGGTCAAAATGAGTCAAAAGCAAGTTTGAGGACAGCAGTGACTTGATGCGTTCGAAGGCATTCTGGCATTCTGATGTCCAGTTCCATCTTTGGCCTTTGGCTAGTAGCTTGTTTAACGGGGCACGCAGTCGGTGCATCTCAGGCAAGAATGCGATGTAGTGGCTGATGAGCCCACAAAAGGAACGCAAGGACTGTAGATCTGTTGGTGGAGGCATGTTTCTAATGGCGTCTATGTTTTCCGGGTCTGGTCGACGTCCATCCTTTTCGAGGATAAAACCGAGGTATTTGATGATCGGCGTGAAAAATGTGCATTTATCCTCACGGATCCGGAAACCGTACGACGGTATGCAACCAAACACTACATCCAGTCGGTTAAACAGTTCTTCCGGTGTTCGGCCCATCGCTATGATATCGTCCAGATAAACAGCGGTTCCAGAAACGCCCGCTAGCATGGTGTCCATCAACTGTTGGAAGATGGCTGGCTCCGTTTTCACACCAAATGGTAAGCGGTTGTATTGAAATAGCCCACGATGAGTGTTGATCGTCAACAACTCACTCGAGGCTTCGGCAACATCCACTTGAAGATAAGCATCGGATAGATCAAGCTTAGCAAAGTACTTACCACCATTCAACTTTGCAAAGACATCCTCCGGTACAGGTAATGGGTACTGGTGGTCCTCCAGCGCGGCGTTGAGGCCAGTTGAAAAGTCAGCGCAAAGGCGTACCTTGCCATTTGCTTTCTTCACTGCGACAATAGGTGCGACCCATGATGAGTAGTTGACGGCTGTGATGACTCCGGCACGTTCCAGTCGATCGAGCTCTTGCTCAACGGTTGACATGGCTACATGTGGTACCGGTCTTTTGGTCTTGAACACTGGTTTAGCACCTGGTCGCAAGTTCAGTGTCGCTTTGCATTTTGTACAATGGCCCAAGCCATCCTGAAAGACAGAGGCAAATTTGCGCTTCAGGGTACGTTTCATGTCTTTGACGGACTTTCATGATGGGTCTGGAGTTGCTGGAACTCGGTTGCAGATCTGCTTCAAGGGAACATCGAGGCGATTCGACTTTTCAATCCAGTCGAGGCCAAGGAGATTCAAATTCGGCCGATCTGAAATATAGCATATTCCCGACTTTTCCACACCTTGGAAAGCAATCTTGCAATTGAGTTCGCCCACAAAGTTTAACACACCACCGGATGCATTATGTGCAACTTTCTGAGACTCGACCATCTTCGGCCTCCTTATGTGACTCCATGTGCTCCTGAAAATAATCGTAATGTCCGAGGCCGTGTCAAATTGCAGCTTCGTTGGGATCCCGTTGATCAACACAGTGATGAATCGTCATCTCGGTTTACATTCGCTTTGGAATGCGGCAACTGTGGACAGACACTCAGCACCATCCTTTCTAGAATTCCCCTTTCGATTAGACTTCTGCAATTTCTTCGACCGGACCTGACTGCAGAATTCCTTCTTATGCCCATGCTTATGGCACGTTTGACAAATATGATGTTTGAAGGGACAAAAGCGGGCGAAATGCCATTCGCCCCATGACCAGCATGCTGTAGGCGGTTTGTTCGTAGGCCTTTTGAGGGGTTTGCTTGCGTTGGCGGTCCTGGCCTTTTTCACGAGTTGCACGGTAGCTGGTGGTGCGAGACCATTGCGTTCGACCATGGCAGTGTCATGTTTTAGCGTGAACAGCCGTTTGCATTCGCTTACGAGGGCCTTCAGTCTCAGGTCAGGATCCTGCTCCAGCTTAGCTAAAAGCCGCGTTCGGATCTCAGCATCACTGAGCGATTGTAGAGCGCTGACGAAAATGAGACACTTAGACTGATCGTCCGTTAAAGAGTGTAGTTTGAAACGTTCACACTCACGGTTAATCATGTCTGCTAAGGCCGCAAGGTCGTCAGAATCCTGTTTGACAATTTTCAGGCATTGATAGCGAACACTAAACAAGGATACCGACTCACCAAAAATTTCCTTCAGCTGCGACAATACTTCGTCAAAAGTCAGACCCTTCGGCTGTTTGGGCAAAATGTGGTCTATGAACCTTGAATGTTCACTTATTCCGAGCTTGCGGAGTAGCAATCGCACCTTTCAGAAGTCGTCCTGACGAATGAAGTCCGTCTGGAACATGTCTTCCCAGCGCTTGAACCACGCTTCGGGGGTGCATTCAGAATCCGCATCGTAATTAAATTTAGTGATGGCGTTCGTGAGATGAGCAACAGAACTCGCCTGCATGTCCCGCGTCGCTGATCTTGTTGTCTGCAAACTCAAGCATTGTGTCAGATTTTCAATCATTTTCATTTGTGCCTCCACTTGAGCTTGCTTTTGAAAAAGCAGCTTTTGAAATTGTACGGCAGAAAAATTTATCACATCTCCGATTTTCTCCGTCGCCATTTGTTATAATCTTCTCACTAGACGCAAATCCAAAAATAACAATTCACTGCTCCACAAAACTTCTAGCCCAACCGAAGGAAAAAGCGAAAAGCCAATGACCTAGCGAAAATAACGTATTAATCGCCGTCAACGAACACTGTACAACGACTTCGGACCATGACTGTATTTATAGGTCTCTACTGACCTTCGACTTCTAGAATTGGAAGGTCAACTACCAAGGTTAGTGGTTCCCCATATCTTTTCCCGAGGGGTCAGGTGGGTTTTAATCACGTGCAGAAGCAGAACATTCTGGAACGTTCGAAATTGATGCGATAATCGTTAATAATCGATTAATCGCTAAAATAGTGAATTCCCAAGGCACTTCTTACTTTCTCCCGGACACATTAGGAAACACTAATCCTTCTAGCTCAAACGGTGCTCGCCTCCAGCGCTACGCTTGCTATTCAGTTACCGCTCCGCAATGACCGAGGGCACCGCATGCCGAGTATATGCCAGCATCTCATTAATACTGGCATGAACCTCGTAATATCTTCGCGTACTAGCAATCAATATGCGATGGATACAGTGATTGCATGGGACTGAATGGCCATGTTAAAGTACACGTGCTTCTCCAAACCTAGACCACGCCTACATCGTCTATTTACTTGAATAATCAACATATTGTACAATTTGCTCGCATCAGCAACCTAGGCCGTGTCTTGCACAATCGAGAAATAAACTATTTAATTTTAGAACTTATTAAATACTAGCTTTCCACAAGTAAATTCTAGTTGCTTCCTTGTTATGTTGGTTCAAATAATACTGGGTAGCGCGATACCGCTGACGGAGATGTCAATGATGTTGGCGTTGGCGTTGGGAGCAACCACTATGTGAATAATTACTTCGCGTGCCGGTGTAGTTCACACTTCAATCAATGTTCATGTCTGGATAAGGTTATTTGAGTGACGGCGAAATTCTCCCCATACAGATAACATACATTTGGTTTCGAAATAAATGCAAGGTTTGGTATGCTGTTACTTGTAACGCACGTAATATTTCCACCGAATGTGTTCAGAGTTGCTCGGTTTAACAAGATTTCACTTTTCTAACTTACCTTCTGATCGAATTTGTTCAGCTTGTTGTGATTCCTGGGGAAGCTGATTTGTCTCACATGGGTATACGTAACTTCGGAGCGGCTCCATACGTCTCATGCTCAGATGCACAGGTCCGATGGCCTGGCGTAAGAGACGAATGGCGAATGGATAGGCGGTAAAACCGATCAGACCGGACTTGCAGGAAAACTCTGCGCAACTCTCCTCACTCTTGACTGCCGGGACGGAAATGTTGGTGTCAAGCGATGAACATGTTTCAGGAAGTCGAATGTGCCCATTTGACATGAGGCCTGCTGCTTTGCGTGGGGCTGACGACGGCGGAGACAGAATTACGCTCACAGAATTAATGGCCAGCAACTGATCACCGACTCGGATCTTTTTAGATTGGTCTGCTAAGCTCCCCGAAGCGATTTGCTTGATGAACAGTCCGGTGGTAGGCTGAATCACAGAGCCTGCAGTTCAAACAACAGGAACTGATCTAATGGATGCATCGCTCAGTAAATCCGTTCTACACAAATTCAATTCTGAGTGTAAGTAACCTAAACATTGACCACAAAATATCTGACGGGACTAACAATGAACGCAGCACTAGCTATTTGTATAGTTGCTGCATATGTTATGGTCAGCTCAAATGCTTCACACTGATAATTTTGACGCTAACTAACCACTGACAGTCGTTTTGGTTACTTATAATTCTACTTGCGCTTTTCTAAAACTAGAGAAATATGGCTGTTCTTCTTCCATTCAATCCAAACTGATGCACGTACGTTGTGCTATGGTTCAATACGGTTATTATTTCTTTATTCAGTTTGTGGTAGTCCATACACAAGTGTGAACAAATGCCCGTTCGCAACACTGCAGTATTATAACTCGAACCAGAGACGTTTGGTATATCAACTGATATCTCACCTTGAATGACTAGGTGGAAACCATTTAGAAACACTTATAAGCACCACACTTCAGCCTGACAGACTGATGGCATTTTCACTCGCGTAACACCATTATCTGCTAGCCCGATGTCTAAATGGGACCCGCCTAAAGTACAAATCGCGCTAACATCTGTTCGTGTCTCGATACATTCCCACTTGACAGATGAATATTATTACATTTCTTCTCGTGTGCCACCGTGACTTATTAGGGGTTGCAATATCAGGTCAATGTATCCCATCTCAAGTGTCTCTACACGCCCCCTTGTACTGCTGCCACTATCACGTAAACGCATTGAGATTCATACAAGACGTCAAGGTTGATTCCCGGAGCAGCGGCAATACGTTATGACACCGGAATTGAAATGCTTGCGCATAGATAGTATTCTAGACTCTGATGAATTGGTCAACATACGCTAGCGGTCAGAACGAATGACCAGGGGGAAATAAATCGTAACACATGACGGACTGCCTAGTGGTTCTACCTCCCTGTTCATTCTCGCTCACCTCAAACAACAGACGATTATAACCGGCTCTGGTTTTACCTTCCGACACGGATAGCCTGCAGTGGACATAATCGCACCATTTCCCTGCTAACTTGGAAAGTTGTTTACGCCGTCTCCGTCATATTTTTGGTGTCATCCTTATTCTATATCCCACATGTAAGTGGCGCTTGGGTACAGTCTCATTCTAGCATGATTAACTACCGACTTGTTGCAATGTGGTATCTTTATTACACCTGCCTAGAACGGATGATCCACAGGTAACCTAACTATTTTAGGCTTATTTAACTCGGTTGTATTTCGCGATGACTTCACATGTTACTCATTACGATATTGTGCTCATCATGATCTATGCTATGCTATTCTTGCTACCTCCTCAACCGGCGTCTAGTACGGTTACATACCGAGAGTGAGCTATGGCATCTTCCTCTTCGTATTATTATTCGGCCTCGATTCACATCACTATGTCAGCTCCATGGTATTGCTCACCATAACCGTAGCTTGACTAGCTGCTCAATGCTAACTTGCATGATTCTTAGATAGCCGGTGCATCGCAGAATAATGGTTCAATCCATCCATAAGCTCATTCGTACTTAATGTGAGCGCGGTTTTTCCGAGCGATTTGTGTGCTTGCTGCGCATCAATGCTAGGGTGGCAAATTATTGGGTATGTTTCCAGTTCGATGGGTACGTTTGAATCAAAAGGTTATTATCGCTTGGCCGTTTACAGTACGTATAAAATGTTAAATTTGACATTTGTAACACAATGCTCAACGATTGTCCTTCGTGTGACCACTTTGGATTATGCATTCGAAGAGAAATTTCCCTGGAAATTCGGTGTCAAGTGAACAATCCCGACAATTAACCGACTAGCGATTATCACGATATCGCCATTCCATGTTCCACTCCGCAGGCTAGTAATGAGAGTGAGTATAGTTATAGTTCCAGTTATTTCCCTCAGCCATACTGAATTTACCGGGGCCTATGAAAACACACCTACTAACCCGCTGGAAGGCAGATGTGCAGAGATGCCTACCAGATGTTGCATTACACATGGCCAATCTTTTGAATGGATTAAGTAAAAGGTTGCATCTAATGGGAATGGTACGTCAGTGTGTTATTATATAACATCGGAAATGAATCTCCGCACAGCGACAATGGTTTTATGTGTACCGAATGTCTGCACCCGAAAGGTACGAGATAGACCGTTAACAAATAGCTTCTTGCCACAGTAGAGTACAGGTCGGTAGGTATAAACAGTTGAGTACTCGGAGATTTTCACAATAAATGCGAACACAGTTTGGAAAGTCGCATGTTTGACAGTGGGCAGCGGGACTTAGCTGATGTCACTTGTTAATACCAAAGGTTGCGCATCAAACGTTCTGTGAGCAGGTGCATATGCCTCGGGCAGCACATGACCGAACCGGTCGGAGACACAGAGAGCCAGAAGTGGACACTGTATCTCATTTGCATGCTGTGTGATCTCCCCCATCAGCTACTCAAACCAGACTGTACATGTAGAGGGCAACATCTAAGTGCACACTATTTCACTGTACCAATAGTCTAGTCATCATTCTACCTAGCAGTTGCTTTACTATTGCCACATCGGGTTCCTTCAAATATGAATGCCCAAGATTTAAGGCAGTCACGTTTAAATGTGGAAGAAAACATCAACAGTTCGTATTGGGTAGTTATTCTCATGCCTGCGGAAGTGGTTGTTAGCCTGACTTCCAAACGAAACCCATACACGTTTGTCGTATCATTGATGATGATGTCTAATGTGTCTCTATCCAGTTTGTGACAGCTCACACTTAAGTTTGGATAAACGCATGTACATATGTTGTATTCGAACTGCCATTGGACACAGATAACGACAATTTATGTATATATGTATACCGAATGAATTCCACGAGGATCTTCATACCGCTTTTGTACGGTTAACGTAGTGCAGTAGAACGACATTCGAGCAAACCGAAAATAATATTACCAGAACATGAAGAAGGTGAGTTTATGACAAACTCATGTTGATTTCAGGTGTTGCGAATCCAAGGCAAATTTTGATCGATGCGAATTCCATGGACTGCTCAAAAGGGCGGTTTCTCAGGTGCCGGAGAAGGCACTATTGTATGCGGAATAGAAGAATCATGAGTATGTTCCCATTCAATTTACTAATACAGGCCAATAAGGCGGCGTATGTGGTACGTTTGCCTGTGTGATGAGTAATCTTACATTTCCGAAGTAGATGTTACTTGAGCTCCCCTGTGTGGATGCGCCTGGCGTGAATGTTGACAAGGTGCCTACCTGTCTATTACCCACTACCTCGTCCATACTGGCTCCAGGAGACAGTTGGTCGTCGCTGGAGGGGACGGAGTGCACCGTCCTCGTGACGGTGCTAGGCTCAAAGAGTGGTTCCATGCAACCTGTGTGGAAGGGGCTACGGTCCAGCCACTGCCTCGTGTACGTCTGGTGTGTATGATTTCCCAATTAGGCCGGAATGCTTCCATTCTGCTTGTTGAAGGAGTGTGGGCCGGCTCCATTTATGAAACCTGGTTCCCATCCACATGCCTCCCGGTCTTATTCCTTCTGGTTTACACTGGATATGGGGTGTGCGGTTGAAGCTGTGGGTGGTGCAGCGCAAGCCAACCATGGTCCCCTTCGTAGGCGCAGGCGTCTTGTGACTGTCCCCATGGAGGTCACAGTGACAGGCAAATCCGGATACGTACGCCGCCAAATCAATCTCAACACTGGAGCCGCTGAGGACACTGATCGATGGTAGTTCAGGCGCTACCTGCACACAGACTTCAGATATAATGCAGATCTGGCGAAAACACTTTGACTGTCTCTTGAACAACCGTTCAGAGATCGACTGGCCTACATTGAATGGCCTGAAGCAGCACGATGTGAAGGCGAATCTGGCGGACAAGCGGACACTGGATGAGACGCAGAGAGCGCTTGCTCAGCTGCGAAACGGCAATTGTGCCGGGGCCGACGGGATCCCGCCTGAAGTATTAACACACGGCGAACCCGCGTTGTTGACTGCGCTGCACCACTTGGTGCAACGTGTATGGAATGAGGAGGAGGTGCCTCCTGAGCTGAAGGATGCCCTTGTGCTATCACTGTACAAGGGCAAAGGTAGCAAGCAATGTTGCAGGAATTATCGTGGCAGCAACTTGTTGAGTTGTGTGGGCAGAGTGTTTGCGCGAATCCTGCTCAACCGCCTCGTCAGCCATGTTGTGGAACCGAACGTGGCGGAAGAGCAGTGTGGATTCCGTTCGGGTCGCAGCACTATAGATGTGGTGTTTGCAGCTCGTCAGTTGCAGGAGAAATGCAGAGAAGGACACCAGCCTTTGTGCTTGCATTTTGTTGATTTCACCAAGGCATTTGATATGGTGAACCGCGAGGCATTGTGGCTGGTGTTGGGTAAGTTTGGTTGCCCACGTAAGTTTGTAGGTTTAATTGAATATCTGCACAATGTTATGCGAGCGAGGGTGCAGCTGAGGGAGAGACATCGGATGACTTTGCAGTTGTCTCTGGTGTGAAGCAAGGTTGTGTCTTAACTCCTGCTCTGTTCAATATATATCTTCATGCAATTATGTCCTGTGCTTTTGATGCCGCTTGTGCTTACGGTGTTCGTGTGGAGCACCGTATTGATGGTGGGTTGCTGAACATCCGTCGTTTCGGTGCGAGAACTCTAGTCTGTGAGACAACTATCCGTATGTTGCTGTTTGCTGACGACTGTGCGTTGTTTTCACACAGCGCGGATGAGTTGCAGCACATGACTAGTGCTCTGACTTCGACAGCGGCAAAATTCGGGCTCATCATCAACACAAGCAAAACTGTCTGTCTGTTTCAGCCTTCACCGGAGGTGTAATCTTCAATATTGCCGCAAATCAGCATTGGTGCTGAAGTATTGGAAACCACCTCCCGCTTCTGCTACCTTGGGAGTGTGATGTCGACTGACCAGCAAATACACAGTGAGATGCGTATTCGAATGTCGAAGGCAGCGGCGGCATTCGGGAAGCTT